GATTAAAGGGTGTGAGCCACGGGCGCCGGGCCTGAAGCCCCTCTTCTTACATAAAAGAAATCTAGCTGGCGCCCACGGGTTGGGCTCAAGCCTGTAATCCCAGCACTTTGGAGGCCAAGGTGGGTGGATCAAGCTGAGGTCAGGAGTTCGAGGTCGCCTGGGCCAACATGGTGAAACTCCATCTCTACTAAAATACAAAAAAATTAGCTGGGTGTGGTGGGCGCACACCTGTAAGTAACCCCAGCTACTTGGGAGGCCGAGGGCAGGAGAATCATTTCGCACCTGGGAGTGAGGTTTCAGTGAGTCAAGATCGTGTCACAGTTTTTTTATTTGTTATTTTGTTTAATAGGCTTTTGAAAGTGCAAACTTAGGGTTGCCTAGTTACTAATTACTTAGGGTAGTGGAACAGATAATCAAGAGACTGATCGTCTAAAGTGGACGATCACTCAGTGGACGATCTTAGTGGATGATCACTTTAGACGATCATCTAAAGTGGGCACAGACTATTAGAAAACTGGCTAGTGAAGAATCTTATAAAAGATAAAAGATCTGCTTCTGTTTGTATGTCTATGTTTATATGCGTTACAGCATGTCATATTTCATTACCAAATATATGAAAAAGTTCAAATTAATTGGCACCAAAATATGCCACCCCGACATATTGATGACTCTGAGCTAAAAGAAACTGAGAACCAGCCAACACAGGAAAACTTCACCTCGCCGGCAACTGCTCCCGTTTTGTAAAGAGAAATTTACATCTTTAAAGGAAATTTCCATGAGTAAACGTATCTGTATCAGACAGACAGCTGCCTGGAGACAGCTTTCATCACCTGAGAGCCTTACAAAGGAACCTTTATTCATCATACATTTTGACCCTTCCATAATTTGTCTCTACCACGCCCCAAAAGGCCCACGCCCTTCTTTCAGTCTCCCATTTTTGTGGCCCTCCAGTGCACGGGTATGTGAAAAGAGTTTTTCTCCCCGTCTCTACTAAAAAGTACAAAAAACTAGCCGGGCGAGGTGGCGGGCGTCTGTAGTCCCAGCTACTCGGGGAGACTGAGGCAGGAGAATGGCATAAACCCGGGAGGCGGAGCTTGCAGTGAGCTGAGATCCGGCCACTCCACTCCAGCCTGGGCGACAGAGAGACTCCGTCTCCAAAAAAAAAAAAAGAGTTTTTCTCCTGTTAATTGTCTTACGACAATTTAATCTGTGGCCCAGCTAAAGAACCTAGAAGGGTAGAAGGAAGCCATATTTCCCTCCTTTACATTTGAATCTTCTTGACACCACACTCTCCCGGGTCATCCGGACCCTCCTTGAACTGGAGCCAGGGGAGCGCAGGGCCTCCCAAGTCAGGGCCCGAATTCCGCGTGGTGCCGAGCGGAATTGGTGGTGGTGGCTCCCTGGATGCCCACCCAGGACCCCGGTAAAAAAAAAAAAAAAAAAAAAATCCCTCCAACCTGGAGAGAACAATTCCGCCTTTGTTCTACCTGGCATCGCCGTGGCCAGTCCCCGCCGCCCATTCTCTCTTCTTCCCGGCCTCGCCACACCAACACTGCAGGACCCGTGTCCTCGTCCCTTCTCCATAGCAGAGGATGAAAAGAACGGGGTTTCTCCACGTCACAGTGGTCCAGGGAACTCGGGTGGAGCGTGGGGGCAGCGTGCTGGGCTGAACTTGCCTGTTCGGTCCACAAATGCTTGACTCCCCCAAAAGAGGCGACGCCCACACCAAAGCGGGGGCGAGGAGAGCAAACCGCTGCCGCCTACCCGGGCCCAGGCCCCAGCACACCTGCGCCGCGGCCTCCAGGGCCCCTCCGTGGCCGGGCGGGCCTCGCTCCCCAGCCAGTGAGGACTAGAAGTCCCGTCGCAGACACCACGTTCCTCACAGGCCCGCAGCCCTGCCTGCTCCTGGGGACTTGGAAGACCCGGCCCAGCGCCCACCACGGCGCCCGGCGCCCCTGTTCCCAATTTGTCCCTAATTTTGAAGACGGGCGACGCGCGGACTGCGGCTCAGACAGCGGCTAGAGACTCACAAGGACTCCAGGTGCTTGAGCTGCTGCAGCTGCTGCGCGCCGTGCCACCGCTGCTTCTGCTCCCGGGCCCGCTGCAGCTCCTGATCCGGCGGCTCCCGCGGCCGCCACGCGCCCCCCGCCCCCTCATCCTCGCGCCCCGGCTGGGACGACATCGCGGCACCTGCGGCGCGGCTCTGGCTGCGACCAAAAGGGCACTTCCTCCGCGCGGCGCCCCTTCCCGCCCCCGCCCCGCGACTCGCCCGGGTGGGGACCCGAAGTCCCGGCCTCGGCCGCCAAATCCTCGCTTCCCAGCGGCCGGCCCCAAGTCAGTGCGCAGAGCCCCAGAGCCCAGCCGCTAGCCCCCTGCTGCCGGTGGGCGGGGAGCGCCCCCTAGCGGCGGCTGGAGCCGAGGCGGGGCGGAGCCCTGGATGGGAGCCTGGGGGAGCTTCCCGGAGCCTCAGGGTTCCCGCCCGGGCCACACCCACCTCCCTGCCCCTTTGAGGTCTCCGACCGGGGCAAGGGGTCTTGTGCAAGTCATGTTTGTACGTCCCCAGTGACAAGACACATGGGAGCTGCTCATTACATAGTAATACGATTCAGCCATTTTTGGAAGAAAGCAATACTCTGCATGTAAATTCTCCAATTTTCAGGTCATATGATCCATGCTTAAAGCATAGTCAATGTATATTGTATTTAGCAAGGTATATGTTCTGGAGATGAAAATAAAAGCTACCATACACAACACTTGTAATGTACTAGTCAATGAGCTAAACCCTTAATAAGAATGTCTTTAATCTTAAACTTAAGTGTTATTACCACCCTTACAGTGATCTACACATTCAGTGCAATCCCTGGCAAAATCCCACTGACATTTTTTTTTTGCGGAAATAGAAAAGCCAATCCTAAAATTCATATGGAATCTAAAGGGACACCTTCCCTGGGCCTCTTACTTGTTTTGCAGCAAGTAGGTGCAAGTAGGTTAATGTGGCATATTAAATTTATTGATTTGTGTGTGTTAAACCATCCTTGCATTCCAGGAATAAATTCCATTTGGTCATAGTGCATTACCCTGTTAATAAGATATTCAACTTGTTTCCCTACCATTTTGTTGAGAATTTTTGCATTAATGTTAATAAGTGATTTGGGGGTGTAGTTTTCTTATAATGTCTTTGTCTGGCTTCGTATTAGGGTAATGCTAGCCTCAAAATGAGTTAGGAAATTTCCCCTTCTCTTTAATTTTTTTGGAAAAGGTTGAAAAGAATTGGTGTTAGTTCTTTAAGTGTTTGGTAGAATTTGTCAGTGAAGCAATTATGTCCAGAGCTTTTCTTTGGTGGTAGATTTTATTTTTTATTTATCTTTAGAGACTTGCTAAAATGGCTCACGCCTGTAAGCCCAGCACTTTGGGAGGCCGAGGCAGGCAGATCACCTGAGGTCAGGAATTCGAGACCAGCCTGACCCACATGGAGAAACCCCATCTCTACTACAAATGCAAAAAATTAGCTGGGTGTGGTGGCACATGCCTGTAATTCCCAGTCACTTGGGAGGCTGAGGTAGGAGAATCACTTGAACCTGGGAGGCGGAGGTTGCGGTGAGCCAAGATTCTGCCATCGCACTCCAGCCTTTGCAACAAGAGTGAAACTCCATCTAAAACAAAAGAAAGAAAGAAAGAAAATAACTACAGTTACAAACCATTGTGACAATACAAGGTTTTATAATTACCTGATTATTTATCTTTATTGAGATCTTTATTTCTTCATATAGCTTCTACTTACTGTCTAGTGTTCTTTTATTTCTTCTTTTTTAAAATTTATTTTTGTCTTGTTTTTCTGAGAAAATCTCGCTGTATCACCCAGTCTGGAGTGCAGTGGCTCAATCTTGGCTCACTGCAACCTCCACCCCCAGGGTTCAAGCGATTCTTGTGCCTCAGCCTCCCGAGTAGCTGGAATTACAGACATATGCCACCACACCTGGCTAATTTTTGTATTTGTAGTAGAGATGGGGTTTCACTATATTGGCCAGGCTGTTCTTGAACTCTTGACCTCAAGTGATTCACCTGCCTTGGCCTCCCAAAGTGCTGGGAATACAAGCATAAGCCACAGTGACTAGCCTAGTGTTCTTTTATTTCAGCCTGTGAAACTCCCTTGAGCCTTTCTTTCAGGGCTTGTCTAGTGGTAATAAACTTCTTTGACTTTTGTTTATCTTGAAATGTCTGAATTTGTCCCTAATTTTTGAAGGACAGTCTTGCTCGATATAGGACATATGATTGATGGTTTTTCCTTTTAGCAATTTGAATATATCAGTCATATGCCTTCTGACCTATAAAGGCTCTGATGAGAAATCTACACATAATCTAATTATGGATCCCTTGTCAGATGAGTTGCTTCTCTCTTGCTGCTTTAAAGATACTCTCTTTGTCTTTGTCTTTCAAAAGTTTGACTATAATGTGTCTTGTTGTGAATCTCTTTTGAGTTCATCTTAATTGGAATTTGTTGAACTTCTTGGATTTTTATATTCACACATTTCATCAAATTTGAGAAGTTTGGGCCATTATTTATTTAAATAGTCTCTGTGCCCCTTTCTGTTTCTTTCCTCATTCCTGGACTCCCACAATGCATAAATTGGTTCACTTGATAATGTCCCATTGGTCCCTTAGGCTCTCTTCACTTTTCCTTCTCTTTTAATTTAATTTTTTGTTGTTATTGTTGTTGTTAGAAATGAAGTCTCACTATGTTGCCCAGGCCGATCCTCAAGCAGTCCTCCTGCCTCCTGAGTAAGTGGAATTACAGTGTATTACAGGGATAGATCATGGGCAATTGCATGGAGATAGTCCATAAGAGCTGGCCAATTTTATGATTATTTGAAGACTTGCATCAGGATAAATAGTTGCTTTTTTCCCCTTTTAGAACATGGTTCTTCTTGGAGAATATGTTCACATTCATTTTCTATGAAGTGCCACTCTTTCTGAAATTCTTTTATGATTCAGTATACACCAACAGCATTCTCTATTACATTTTCCCATCTTCTGTGCCATGTTTCTTTGTTGTTTGAGGTATGCAGAAATCCATCTCACATGCACTCGTATACAGACCACAGATTTAGTGGAGACAGTATCACTGAACAGCAACACTATTGCATAAGTGTCTTTACTGTTGTTGTTGTAGACAGGGATCTCACTATGTTGCCCAGACTTGTCTCAAACTCCTGACCTCCGGTGATCCTCCTACCTTGGTCGCCCAAAGGAATGGAATTACATGAGCCACCATGCCTGGTCACATAAGTGTCTTTTTAAACTTCCATACACATAATTATTTTTGAACCAGTGAGAAACTTCTCTGGCTTCTTCAGGCAAATTAAGCTTTAATTAATTAAAAAGAAAAAAAAAAAGCTTCTGGAGTGTCAGACAGAAAGAATACCAATGCAGGAAAATGACATGGTTTTGTTGTTGTTGTTGTTGTTGTTTGGGTTTTTGTTGTTGTTGTTTGTTTGTTTCCTTTTTGAGATGGAGTCTCACTCTGTTGCCCAGGCTGGAGTGCAATGGCATGATCTTGACTTACTTCAGTCTCTGCCTCCCAGGTTCAAGTGATTCTCCTGCCTCAGCTGGGATTATAGACGCGTACCACCACAACTGGCTAATTTTTGTGTTTTCAGTAGAGACAGGATTTCACCATGTTGACCAGGCTGATCTTGAACTCCTGACCTCAGGTTATCTGCCTGCCTCGGCCTCCCGTGTGCTGGCATCACAGATGTCACTTTTGGCTGGTTATGGTGGCTTCCATCTGTAATCCCAGTACTTTGGGAGGCTGAGGCAGGAGGATTGTTTGAGGCCAGGAGTTTGAGGCCAGCAAAATAGGGAGCCACCATGCCTGGCCTTTTTTTTTTGAGACAGAGTCTCACTCTGTCGCCCAGGCTGGAGTACAGTGGCACAATCTCAGCTCACTGCAACCTCTGTCTCCCAGGTTCAAGTGGTTCTCATGCTTCAGCCTCCTGAGTAGCTGGTACTACAAGCACACACTACCATTCCTGGCTAATTTTTGTATTTTAAATAGAGATGGGGTTTTGCCATGTTGGCTAGGCTGGTCTTGAACTCCTGACCTCAATTGATCTGCCTACCTCGGCATCCCAAAGTGCTGGGATTACAGGCATGAGCCACAGCATCTGGCCCTCTTTTTGTATTTCTTAAAAAGGTATTCAATTAGACATTAATTTTAGCTATGCTAAGGCTGGAGTGCAGGGGCATGATCACAGCTCGTTCCAGCTTTGAATTCCTGGGCTCAAGCAGTCCTCCTACCTCAGCCTCCCAAAGTGCTGGGATTATAGGCATGAACCCTTTTATTTAATCCCTTTAGGGTAAAAGAAAAGAAATTGTCCAGGCACAACCAGTGACCTTAAAGTCAGCAAGCAAGTAGTCTAAAAATGTTAAGATATAATTTTGTGCTGAAACCAATTGAGTCAGGTTTCTCTTACTTGCAATTGAAAGAGTTTTGAATGATTCACATATTTGCCATGTTAGATATATAACAACATGATTTATTTTCTCACCAAGAAGACCCAGGGATCAATATTTCCACTGAAGCAACTATTAGTCAAGGCTCTTTTGAAATAACAATGAACTAAAATCCAAATCAAACTGTTTTAAGGGAAACAAAAGGAATTTATTGGCTCACATATGTGAAATGTCCAGGGGTGAAGCTTCAGGAATGACTGTACCTAGGTGCTGAAATTATACAGTCAGCACTTTCTCCCTCTCTCAGCTTCACCTTCCTTTGTATTGATTTATTTTCATGTAGGTTCTCTCATGGTGGTGGCAAAGATGGACACTAGAAGGCATAGATGGCCACCAGTTTAGCAGCCTGCACTGAAAGAAATCTTAGTTCCAAAAAACTTCCATGTGTTATACTCATTGACTCAGCAAGCATCATGCAGCTCTGAAGAAAGAAAAAATCCCTGTGGTCAGAGAGATGCAGTGCTCTTTATAGCGGCAGCAGGCAGACAAATGCATAGGCAGATAGGGGCAGGTCCCTGGAGAAACCCCACCTTCATGCTGAAGACAGTTTAAAACCTGAAAGCCAAGCTACAGGTCAAATCCATGGACCAGATTGAGAATCCGTCTTCCCATTTGACATGCTTTCCTCTGATTGATTCCCCACCCTTCACCTATTTTACATATACCTACCCTTTCCTAATTGGTTTTCTACACTGCCATACCCACCTTTGAGGGGTGCCTTTGCTTTAGCCTTTCTTTGCATACTCACAAGCCAATCAGCATGCACTTCCCTATTCTGAGCACATAAAAGCCCCAGACTCAGCCACACTGAGAGCGAAACCAACTGACAGGGTGGGGGGGTGTGCGGGAGACCACCTCTGCATCCCCTCTCCACTGAGAGCTATTCCATTGCTCAATAAAGTTCTTCTCCACCCTCCTCACTCTTCAATTGTCAGTGTATCCTCATTCTTCTTGGACATGGGACAGGAGCTTAGGAACCGCTGAATGCGTGTACATGCTATAACACAGGAGAGCTGGGACACACCTGGCCCAGACATAGGCTGAGCCAATGCACAAGCTAGACTTGGCCCAGGCAGACCGAGTAGGCAGGGCACCTCCTGCAGCAGGTAGCATGCCTGAGCAAGGCCCAGGTGGCGGTTGCACCAGCTGGAGGACCCTGGCTGGCAAAATGACTGAGAAAAATCCTGCATCACTCTGGCCAAGCCTAGGTTACATGCCTGCCATAATTACCAGGGGTGGAATCAGCTTTACCCCAGTCATGTAGACTGACAGTGGGGAAGGGGTAGTTCTGGAAACCAAAATCAATGTGCTATTACTTAAACACAGAGAGAAAGAGACAGAGAGACAGAGACAGAGAGACAGAGAGAAAGAGAGGGGATGCTGGGTAGGGAAAGTAACAAATGTGCAGTTCAATAATCTGACAGCCTCCCCCAGTACCAGCTCCTGGGCTGCATTCTAGTCATCTCTTCTTGATAATTATGTTCACCTAAAAGAAAGAAGCTGAGGCAAAATTAATATAAGTAGAGAGTTTATTTGGGCCAGGCTTGAGGATTGCAGCCTGGGAGCATAGATTCAAGTTGTCCTGAATATGTACTCTGATTAGCAGCACTTAAAAGTGAAATTTTTTTTTTTTTTTTTTTTCATATAATATATTATTGAGACAAGGTCATGCATCTCGGAATACACACAAGCTGAGTGCAAATGTTAACTACCTGACGCGCTCCTGCAGTCTCCAACCCATCCATGGGCTCAGTGATTCTCGCCTGCTCAGTCTCCCATGTAGCCTGGGACCATACACACACGCGTGTAGTGCCACCAATAGCCTCTGGCTAATTTTTTAATATTTTGTAGAGATGGAGTCTCCCTATTTTGCTGGCCTCAAACTATCCTCCTGCTTCAGCCTGGGATTACAGGTGGAAGCCACCATAACCAGCCATAAGAGGATTTTTGAAAGTAAAAAGGTGGGGGCAGGTGGTAGGCTTATACAAAGTTGTCAGGAATTCTCACTGGCTTACAAAATTAACATTGATTAGTGATTAGCTATACACTGTTAAACTATAAGGTATGGGTTATAGTGTCCTGTGACATTGTTAGGTTAATTTATTGCTACTTGTTGCAAGAGCAAGTAGTTTCTTTCTTTCTTTTTTTTTTTGAGATGGAGTCTTGCTCTGTCCCCCATGCTGGAGTGCAGTGGCATGATCTTGGCTCACTGCAAGCTCTGCCTCCGGGGTTCACGCCATTCTCCTGCCTCAGCCTCCCAAGTAGCTGGGACTACAGGCGCCCACCACCATGCCTGGCTAATTCCTTTTTGTATTTTTTAGTAGAGACAGGGTTTCACTGTGTTAACCAGGATGGTCTCCATCTCCTAACCACGTGATCCACCCACCTCAGCCTCCCAAAGTGTTGGGATTACAGGCGTGAGCCACTGCTCCCAGCCAATAGCAAGTAGTTTCAAGACATGAATACATAGTTCAAGGGGAAAGTGGAATGTGATTTGTGTTTCACCTCATGTCTGTCTTAGCCTCACAATTGAAAAGAATTGGCATTCCCAATATAAGATTTTTTTTTCTTTTCCCAATTTGTGTCTTAGAGCTTATAAAGCAGTGAAAATTCATTTTACTTTTTATATCCACCTGTTTATGTGAATTCAGGTTCATTACATATTTTGACACCAGACTGAGAAATTTTTTGACGGTGGGATGTGGTGGCTCATGCCTGTAATCCCAGCAATTTTGGGAGGCTGAGGTGGGAGGATTGCTTGAGCCCATGAGGTCAAGTGTGTAGTGGGCCATGATCATGCCACTGCATTCCAGCCTGGTGACAGAGTGAAACTGTTTGAAAAAAACAAACAAAACAAAAAAACAAAAAAAAAGAAAAAGAAATGCATTACTCACATTTTGAAACTTTTGGGGAGAGCAGATCAGGTGCCTAAGCCAGTCCAAAAATGGCTTTGACAAAGCAAAAGCAAGTGGCCCTGGGATTACTGCAGTTAGGGGTGGAACCTGGGTGAGCATTCCTGCACAAAGACCCAGGCTTTGTGTGGCTTGAACTTCCCCCTACAGTGCCAAGAGAAGGAGTGCATGCGCTTTCTATTGGCTCACTTACCTGTGGGTAAGAGGGAATCGTGGAAGTGGAGCTTGAAAGTTTTCAGTCGTAGAACACCAAAAATGCAGTCAGGTTCTTTATAATATGGGGTCACACCTTAAATCCCGCCCAGTTTTCTGATACCAAGAGATTCAATGCAATAATATACCATCCATTAACCAATGGATGGTTATGGAATTCTTTTCCTGGTGATTATAACTTTAAAGCATTTTTTTAACCCATCATCCTTTAGTTTATGCCTGTTTAATCTGGTAGGATGTGCAGGCACAGTCCATTTCCAGAGAGAGAGAGTAAAGTGATTGTTAGCCAACCATAAACACATACGGAGGCACCCTTCACTTTGTACTGTGGCACCTAGCCCACACAAGTGAGGAACGCTTCTGTTTGTACTCTCTCGCTGTCGTATTATCCTGTCCATGAGCCCCTCGGTTTGTTTTTTATTTTGTTCTTCTGCCCCTCCTAAGATACCAGATTCATTCTTGAGACCAGCCAGGCAGCCTTGGTGTTGACCCACTAGCGGTGGGGCAGCTGCACCTGATCCTTAGCCTGTGTTACTGGACAGGTGTCAAATCTTTGAAGTAAAAACAAAATCCTAAACCCTGGCTGGGCCTGGTGCCTCATGCCTATAAGGCTAGCAATTCGAAAGGTTGAAGTGGAAGGATCTCTTGAGCCCAGGAGTTGGAGACCAGCCTAGGCAACATAGTGAGACCTTATCTCTACTAAAATTTTTTTTTTTAATTAGCTGGGTATTAACTTTGAAATTTACTGCTTTTGGTCAAAATCCACTCTTCAGCTAATGCTTTCTTCCAGCTGGTTGTCTTCTTGCCTGCTCTGTGTTGTAAAATGAGGGTCCCTTACTGCATTATCAAGGGGAAGGCAAGACTGGGACGTCTAGTCCACCGGAAGACCTGCTCCACTGTCGCCTTCACATAGGTGAACTCGGAAGACAAAGGCGCTTTGGCTAAGCTGGTGGACGCTATCAGGACCAATTACAACGACAAAAACGATGAGATCCGCTATCACTGGGGCGGCAATGTCCTGGGTCCCAAGTCTGTGGCTCGCATCGCCAAGCTTGAAAAGGCAAAGGCTAAAGAACTTGCCACTAAACTGGGTTAAATGTACACTGTTGAGTTTTTTGTACATAAAAATAATTAAAATAATACAAATTTTACTTCAAAAAAAAATTAGCTGGGTATGGTGGTGCACGCCTCTAGTCCCTGCTTCTTCTGAGGCTGAGGTGGGAAGATCACTTGAGCCCAGGAGGTTTGAGGCTGCAGTGAGCCATGATCACACCACTGCACTACAGCCTGGACAACAGAGTGAGACCTTGTCTAAAAAAAAAAAAAAAAAAATCCCAACCCCCTTCAAGTAACTGAACAGACCCCATATTGGCCAAGTGGACCCCAGAGTAACTTTGAAAACTAAGTTCTTGGCTGGGCATGGTGACTCACACCTGGAATTCCAGCATTTTCAGAGGCCAAGGCAGGAGGATCTCTTGAGGCCAGGAATTCAAGACCAGCCTGGGAAACACAGTGAGACCTCATCTTTACAAAAAAAATTTAAAAATTAGCTGGGCTGACCGGGTGTGGTGGCTCACGCCTGTAATCTCAGCACTTTGGGAGGCTGAGGAGGGTGGATCACGACGTCCAGAGATCGAGACCATCCTGGCCAACACGGTGAAACCCCATCTTTACTAAAAATACAAAAATTAGTCAGGCGTGGTGGCACATGCCTGTAGTCCCAGCTACTCGGGAGGCTGAGGCAGGAGAATCACTTGAACCCGGGAGGTGGAGGTTGCAGTGAGCCGAGATCGCATCACTGCACTCCAGCCAGGTGACAGCAAGACTGTCTCAAAAAAAAAAAAAAAAAAAATTAGCTGGGCTTGGTGGTGCACACCTGTATCCCAGCTGTTTGGGGAGACTGAGGTGGGAAGATTACTTGAGCCTGAGAGGTCAGTTCTGCAGTGAGCCATGATTATGCCACTGCACTCCAGCCTGGGCAGACAGGGTGGGGATCAGGCACACTTCCTTATATGCCCTCCCTCACTAACTATGATTAACCTTTCTTCCCTATGGACTTAGAAGAAACCAGCTCTTTCAAAAGATTCCACCACTGATGTCAACCAATGGGGATGCTGCCCTTTCTTTTTTGACCTGGTAAGAGACCCAGTAGGGTTTTCTTTTTTTTTTTTTTTGAGACGGAGTCTCGCTCTGTTGCCCAGGCTGGAGCGCAGTGTCCGGATCTCAGCTCACTGCAAGCTCCGCCTCCTGGGTTCACGCCATTCTCCTGCCTCAGCCTCCCGAGTAGCTGGGACTACAGGCGCCCACCACCTCGCCCAGCTAGTTTTTTGTATTTTTTAGTAGAGAGGGGGTTTCACCGTGTTAGCCAGGATGGTCTTGATCTCCTGACCTCGTGATCCGCCCGTCTCGGCCTCCCAAAGTGCTGGGATTACAGGCTTGAGCCACCACGCCCGGCCAAGACCCAGTAGGGTTTTCACCTCCTCTGCTTCACATTTGGACATCAGAGGGCCAAAAACCCCACCTTCAGATCATGCCATCCTGGCCATTTTTTTGTTCACGGAACCCATGAAGGGGCATGATGCTCAGTGTTTCTCCTTTCATAAATATTCATGACTCCTCCTATAGCTTATTGAATATGTATATTTGGCCACACTGTCCAGCATACATTCCTGTTCCCTTTGCCCCTCCCTTGAAGTGTCTGTTTCTGGCTTCTGGCAGGAGGCTGTGCTTCACAGCCTGTCAGAATGGCCACCTGCAGGCTGCAACCCTTTCTGAGAAATAAAGTTCTCCTTTCCAGATTTATGAACCGCCTTATTCTTCAGTTGACAATGTATACCAATGAAAAGATGGATGAAGACATAGATAGTGGTGGCTCATGCCTGTAATCCCAGCACTTTGGGAGGCCAAGGTTTCAGGATCGCTTGAGCCCAGGAGTTCAAGACCAGCCTGGGTAACATAATGAGACACCATCTCTACAAAAAATGCAAAAATTAGCTGAGCATGGTGGCACGCACCTGTAGTCCCAGCTACCTGGGATGCTGAGGTGGGAGGATCACTTGAGCCCAGGAAGTCACAGCTGCAGTGAGCCATGATCGCACCACTGCACTCCAGCCTGAGCAACAGTGTGAGACCCTGTTTTTAGTTTTTTTATTTTTATTTATTTATTTTTAAAGACATAGGTAGCTAGAGTAATACAGAGATGAAAGGGAGATTATTCACACACGTGTCTTAAAATAGAAATTACTAAATTTTATTTTACTTAAAGTTAACAGAAAATGACATATTTGTGAAATTAAAGGAATTTTTTTTACTACTAGAGATATTAATTCCCAAAAGAGTCATTTAACACTAAGAAAAATGATTATGGTTACAAAAATTACTAAATGGGCATATTTCACAGCACACACACAGACATATGCACGCAGCCACACACACACAACTCTAAGAGTGATTCTGTGTTTTCTAGGGGAGAAAATATAATTTATTTTCTTTCTCTCATAGGTTCTTCATTGAAACAGCCTCCTAAAAATAAAAGTCGGCAGAAGTTTGGCTGGGCGCTGTGGCTCATGCCTATAATCCCAGCAATTTGGGAGGCCGAGATGGGTGAATCACCTGAGGTCAGGAGTTTGAGACCAGCCTGGAGAACATGGTGAAACCCCTTATCTACTAAAAATACAAAAAGTAGCCAGGTGTGGTGGCCTGTAAGTCCAGCTGCTCAAGAGGCTGAGGCAGGAGAATCTCTTGAACCTGGGAGGCAGAGGTTGCAGTGAACCAAGATCGTGCCACTGCGCTACAGACTGGGCAACAGAGCAAGACTCCATCTCAAAAAAAAAAAAAAAGTTTATTAAGTCATTGCTGTACCCATCACACAGGAAAGGATTCTCAGTTCAAATGGATTTCTTTCTCAAGGCAGTGGCTTAGGGGCCTTGCTTAAATAGTATTTTAACAAAGACTCATAAATCCTATAGTGACAAGAGAGCATCTTCAGGTTTCCAGAAGGTAGGAAAATGTCAGAAGGTAAATCTATGGGAAGAGTAAAGTCTCTGGCGCTTTTGTCTATGAGCTTATAAGCAAACCCTGCAAAAGCCTGTCTTTAGGCGGGAAAGGCAGAGAGGAGGCAGGAAGACCTTTTGTCTTTGTAAATTGCCGTCCTGCCATCAGGCAAGCAGGGGGAAGGGTAGAGTGCCCCCTGCCCTTTAATCTTCAGCTCTACAATCCCTAGTATATTATGGAGGAATATTTTGGTTTCTTTCAGTTTTAACCACATATTTCCACTTTTAAAGCATCCATTGACATCCTGGTACACAGTAAAACTTTCTCTTTGGTAGACTGCTGCAGAAATCCAATTCCAAGAATGTCTGTGAGGACTTCATCACTGTCACACTCTCTCCCACTGCTCCCTTTTGCTGCCCTCTTTATTATTATTGCTTAGAATTCTTCTTCTTTTTTGGCTTATGGCTCTGATGTGGCTGGAAGGTGCACGGTCTTAGAAGAGGAAAAGGATAGCTTGGGATTTAAGCCTCATAAGGCCAGTATCATACATATTGTATTAGTCCGTTCTCATGCTGCTATGAAGAAATACCTGAGACTGGGTAATTTATAAAGGAAAGAAGTTTAATTGACTCACAGTTCCACAGGGCTAGGGAGGCCTCAGGAAACTTACAGTCATGGGAGAAGGGGAAGCAAACACGTCCTTCTTCACATGGCAGCAGCAAGGAGAAGTGCTGAGCAATGGGGGGAAAGCCCCTTATAAAACCATCAGATCTGGTGAGAATTCACTCACTATCATGAGAACAGCATGGAGGTAACAACCCTCATGATTCGATTACATCCCACCGGGTCCCTCCCACCACACGTGGGGATTGTGGGAATTACAATTCAAGATGAGATTTGGGTGGGGACACAGCCAAAGTGTATCACCAAACCATATCATATTTAGCAGGTTTGAGGGAAAAGCTATACATATTTATAAGGGGATTGGGTAAACACATATGTCACATACATCCCACATTTACTTTGAGACCAAGTTTTTGCATTAAAAAGAGATGGAATTTGGCTCTTTACAACAAAAAGTGAACTACAGGATACATAGACAGTTTGTGCAAATCCTCTATAAGCTGCTGAAACTGGCCAAAGGCCTGCAGTAGCTTATCAGAAAAGAATGTTTGTGAGGCCCGTCCTCTGTCCAATCAGAGTTGTAGTGGTCTGGGTTGTAAATCAGAATTGATAGCTCCTATTGTTAGGGAGTTTAGCCAAAGGAATTTAGACATTTGCCATGCCAGTCAGGCCCTGAACCTACTCTGCCCATAGGTAACTTCATTTCCTGAAGCTTTGAGTGCAACATAGTTGATAAAGCTGTGTCTATTTTGGTCTCTCAGATCACAAACTTTCTTTTTCTTTTTTTCTTTTTTCTTTCTTTTTGAGACAGAGTCTCACTCTGTCGCCCAGGCTGGAGTGCCGTGGCATGATCTATGCTTACTGCAAACTCGCGCCTCCCGGGTTCACGCCATTCTCCTGCCTCAGCCTCCTGAGTAGCTGGGACTACAGGCGCCCGCCACCTCGCCTGGCTAGTTTTTTGTATTTTTATTGGAGATGGGGTTTCACCGTGTAAACCAGGATGGTCTTGATCTCCTGACCTCGTGATCCACCCCTCTCGGCCTCCCAAAGTGCTGGGATTACAGGCTTAAGCCACCGCGCCCGGCCCTGTCCTATAATTTTATTAATAGGTGTTCTATTTCTAGAATAAGCTCTAAGATGAACAATGAACATTTTTCTTGTTGTTCGTGTAGTTTCTCACTCAATCCCTGAAACCTAATTGATTATAATAATCTTATAATTATTGTTTTATCTTCATCTTACAGAGAATACTGACATTTTGTTAATTTGCAGAAGCTCACCTAGGTAGTCCATGTAATGGTATATTTTTCCTTTAAAATACTGTTTTTTTATTTTTTACTTATTTTTTTTGAGGCAGAGTCTCACTCTGTCTGGAGTGCAGTGGTATGATTTAGTGGTGCGATCTTGGCTCACTGCAACCTTCAACTCCCAGGTTCCAGCGATTTTTCTGCCTCAGTCTCCCAAGTAGCTGGGACTACAGGCCGTGCCACCACACGCTGCTAATTTTTGTATTTTTAGTAGAGAGAGGGTTTCACCATGTTGGTCAG